CTGAACAGTAGCATTGCTTTAGCAAACAGACTTGTGAAGTAGTTCTTACTGCATGAAGAAATAAAACAAGTCTGGTTGCTAAACTGATGTTAAGCTACTGCTATCCTTTTGTGACCTGCTGACTTGGATTACTACTGACTACCTGCCCTGGTGCATGTTAGCAAGTGACAGCAATGCAGGGCTCAGCAGACTGAGCCTGTAAACTTCTGTGGGGAAAGTTACTGCAAATTAGTTGACTTCTTGATTGTAAGGTGTGAAAGTTGCTGTCATGAAAAATGCAGGGTTTTGAGTTTAACTTGAAGGAGTAACTCAATTATTTAACTGTTTCCTTCTTTTGTAGTAGCCAGATATTAGAAAATATGCTGGTTACTGAAATTTGAAGAGACAAAAACTTAGAGGCAGTCTCTATTTCTCCATCATCTGAAGACTTAATTTCATCTGCCCATGGAGGATCTTGAAAGAGGTACATACAAATGAGAGGAAGTGCAAGTTTTCACATGGCCAAGAAGGCCTGTGCCATCCTGGCCTGCATCGGAAGGTGTGACCAGCAGGACCAGGGAGGTCATCCTGCCCCTCTGCTCAGCCTTGATGAGGCCGTACCTCAAGAACTGTGTGCAGTTTTGGGCACCACAATATAAGAAAGACATGGAGGTGCTGGAGAGGGTGCAGAAAAGGGCAAACAGGCTGGTTAGGGGTCTGGAGAACAGCTCTTATAAGGAGAGGCTGAGGAAGCTGGGGCTGTTCAGCCTGGAGAAGAGGAGGCTGAGGGCAAGACCTCATTACTTTCTACAACAACCTGAAAGGAGGTTGTAGTGAGGCAGATGTTGGCCTCTTCTCCCTGATGACCAGTGATAGGACGAGAGGAAATCGGGTCAAGTTGTGCCAGGGGACGTTCAGGCTGGATATTAGGAAATGTTTCTTCACAGGAAGAGTGGTGAGGCATTGGAACAGGCTGCCCAGGGAGGTGGTGGAGGCACTGTTCCTGGAGGTGTTAAAAAAACAGGTAGACGTGATGTTTTGGAAGATAGTTTAGTGATTAGGGGTTGTAGGGCGGATGGTTGGACATAATGATCTTGAAGGTCTTTTCCAGCTTGATGATTCTGTGGGGTAGTTGTGGAAGCAGATGCAGGCTTTTTCAACATAGCAGAAGTTGCAAAGGAACATCTTCATATGTCAAGTATGATTACTCCAGATAAGAGAAGAAACTTGAAAAGACAAGACTAAAAATTAGCAGCTGAAGTAATCTGTCAAGCTGCAGTGTATGACCAATGGCATAATGAATGTCTATTTGGCCCACCTGCAGATAAAAATTCCTAATGATTTCTGTGTTAACAGCGTAGATAGTAGCTTCTTCTCACTGGGCAAAATAAAGTGAAGTACAACTTGAAATCTGTTGCATGCAGAAAATACTACAAGTGAATATGGAGAATAGTAATATTATTTGCGTAGTTACAGTGAAAGCCATGAAATACAAGCAAAACGGCAACAGTGCTGTTCATTAGTTGAGTATCAGCCTTTCTTTTTCCTTTTTTTAATCTTCTATTTAGAGATTTTAATATGAAGCCTTCAGGGGGGAGGTGGGGATAAGAGAAGTTGATGTCTCAGCTTGAATATCTTTTTCCACATATTCCAGTTATTTTTCTCACAGTTACAGTGTAAATACTGGTTTCTATTCCTCTCACGTCTCATTTCCTAACAGTTGTTGCAACTGCCAACAGAGGCAACCTTTCCCACCAGCACTGCTCCTGCATCCCATGGTGTAGCTGAACTAATGGTCAAGGATTGCTTTTCCTTCTCCAGATCCCTTTCTCCTCTGTGGTGTTGGAGCAAACCAGGTAAAGCACTCAGGACAGGTTTCAGGATCCTGAACCTTGTAGAATAGTTGAGACTTGGTCTGGTGCCTCAGAAACAGGGATGGGCTGGACTGGGCAACAAGTGCTGACTTTTCTTTGCAGGGACTCTGGAGAGGCCTGTTAATCAGAAGCTTGGTTTAGATTATAACCAGACACTGGACACCTTGAGGTTTGTGGAAATTTATTGGTTTGTATCCTAACTAAAAAACCAACTGATACAGTTATTTGTACAGCAGCACCAGCAAAACTATATTTTGTTTAATTTTCTCTTAAATTTGAAAGAACATGAGCAGTATTGCCACATTATGATGTTCCAGGTTTGTGTGAAATGGCAAAGGGGCAGTTACTGTGCTGCTCACCATTCTGTGTGAAGAGTATGTGGAAAGAGCAGGGCAAAAGAGTACAACACATTGAAGTAATGATCATAGCAAATAAGAGATGGTATATGTGTTATCTGAAGTATTACACATTATATGCAACATATAACCACATTATTAAACATACATTCCAGGGTTCATCTGAGTGACACTTCTATGTACTGCTTGCTTCTGTCTGACAACACTTCTGGTTCTATTTCTTCCTTGTCAGTCTGAAGCTAGTTAAAAGGATGTGAAATTTTCCATTTTCCAGTTGTGTCAGGAGTTTTAAACCCACATGTTTCTAGCACCACCCACTGCTTTTAATCCTAATAGGATTTTTAACTGCTTTTGTCTGTGCTTTATTTCCCCAGGATCTACTAACGTTTAAAAGAAAACCTTTATTAAGTAAATGGAAGATGGAGTTCAGGTATATCCATCCTTTTCTTTTGCTGAGCATGTCTGATGTTTCATGTACAAAGAAGTCTTTTGGCTTCTAGTTAGTCTTAATAAGGAAACTGCTAAGTTACTTTAAAAGTTAGAAAGTGAGCAGCCAGCATTGTAAAAAAAGTTGACAGTTGTAACTCTAGGAAAGTCATTAAGTGACAGAACTGCACTGTAATGAGGGGCTTCACATTCTTTGCTAAAGAGTGTGAGACTACTTTCAGTGTAACAACTTTTAAAATCTTAATTAAGAGCCTTATATTTGAATGGTTATCAGGAAAAGAGGCATTTATGTGAACAAGTGTAGTGAACAGGGTAAATGGCAGGTTTGCAAGATATTCAGAATGAATGGGAACAAAAAGATGTCCAAAGCACGGGAATAAATGTGAAATGATTGTCAGCCTGGATGTTTCAAAATCAGGCAGTGATGTCTAGGATTTATTTCTTTTTTTCAGAGTGTACTGCTTGCGAACTACCAAATGAATGATCTTGCAGGAGTGCACAGGCACTTGTCATGGACTCTGGCTGCTCTGCCAAGTTGTGACTCTTCTTGCTTCTCTCTTTCTGGTGGGAACTGGCTTTTTACCCAGCTGGGGGAGGTTGCTGGGCCCTCGCTACTCTTCCATGGGACCTGGTACAACAAAGGTAATTTATAGCAGTAGGACAGTGGCAGCTAATTTCCCACAAGGTGCAAGGCAATAGAGAGGAAGTTTTGTGAAGGAAATAATTTAGCTTTGTTGCAGCATGTACAAAAACATATACAGAGAAGTTTTTTATTGCCTTTCCTAGGCTTTGTTTTCTGCTTGAGTTGAAGTGCAGTTCAATACCAGTAGTTTTTAGATTAGGTTCCAGGCTCTCTGCCTGCCTTGTGTGGTTTCAGCAAGGCTGCTAAAATGAGGCGTGGCTTTGCTCAGTGAGGCAGTAAGAAGGAGTCAGTGTCACAGCAAGGGAGCAGCAGATGGAATTAGGTCCTCCCTGTAGCGGATTACAGCAGCTTCTTCTGCTCTGCAGTCTTGGGGACTGTGGCATGGCATCGCTGTGTGGTCCCCAGAGATGGCAGTGCTATTGTGTGTGCGTGCTGACTGGTGGCAGGTCATCTCCTCTACCCTCTTTATGTGATCTACTTGGGGTCAAAGAGCTCTGCTCCTGCTGTTTGTGTATCACTTGGAAGAATGAGGTCCTTTATAAGATGGATAAAGTGAAATAACTGAGTTTTTCACTTGTGTTTTCATCCCTTGTTATTTAAATGGAAAATAGTAGCAGTCAGCGTGTTGAGAACTGGTGCTCATCACTGTTGTTAAAGTCATCAACATCCTGAAGAGAACTGAGCTACAAGCAGCAAGGAAGAACTAAAGAAAAGAAGCCATTTTTTAGAACCAGACTTTAATAAACAGCTAAGTTGCACAGTTGTACTGTTATGAACCAGTAGGAAAGGAGAAAAAGAAGAATGAAAGAGTATTTGAAGTGAATAGATTGTGTTTTACTTGCGTATTTTGTAGGTAAGAAGTAAAACTGGCTATAACCAAAGAGCAAAGGGAAGTAGCTCTGAGTCTGCACTTATAGAAAAAATCATTCCACTTTTCCCTAGTCAGATTTTATTTTTTTTTCATTTACCTAAGTGTTTTCTTCTCCCCTTCTCACTTGTCCACTTTGCATCCATAATAAGGACAAGAACTTGTGACCTGCTAAATCCCGAACACCCTTAATCCTGAATGTGTGTACATACCTCCAGACCGGCTGCTGAGCTGTTCCCCTTCGCCCTGCTGTCCATCCTCTTGTTCATTGATGGTTGCTATCAAACTGTGTATAAAAGAGATTCTTAAAGCCTATTTATACTGTTGGCTTCATCCTGGCTCAAACCAGGACAACTATTTAAAAGATTATGTGAACATAGCCATGTCCTGATTGTCAAACACGGTGTAAACCCAAATCTTCATTTTTAGATGCTGAATCCATTTCAGTGTAGTCACTGCCTAGACTGACAAAAAATTTAGTACCAGGTACATGGATCATCCTGAGAACAGCAGCACTCAAGTAATTCCAGTCATGGCTGAAAAAAACTGGAGAGGTGTGGGGGAGAAACTACAAAAGAAACTGCTGTTTATCTTCCTTCAGACTAATTTTCTTCTTCCTGTAAATGTGATTTAAAGACATGCTTGGGGATAGGACCTGAAAGTGAGTGTCATGTTCTGTGACTCCAGGACAGACTAAGCAAAGAAACTCAGTATTAAAACCTTGCATCTGAATCCATTTAGGTACATACGTTTTCCTGTCAAAGTGCTTTTATTGATGCTGGAGGTAAATTTAGCTAAATAACCTCCCATCTGTTTAAGGGATAAACTTGTTAAACTCTGACACAGTCTTTTGAATACATCAGTTTACTTGAATGTTAGTTAAACTGGCAGATGGTTTACCTGTGTTTGCCTGGGTGCACTGCCATGTTAATAAAGGTCTACAGTTGATCAATTTAAGTACAATTACCTTCTGTTCCTGCAGGCTTTTTTGATAGCCTATTCCATATTTTTTTTACTGTTCAGATAATTTATTTTTACTAGAATAAGATTTTGAAGCAGAGTCTGGGCTTTTCTTTTTTAAATAATTTCTGCATATTACAGAAAATGTTGTTTGTCTTTCATTCAAACTTGATAGCCCACTCCCCTCTCTCAAGAAATACCAGAAACTTAGATTTTGTTAAGACAGAAGGACTGTAGGACATAAACCAAATTGATCTTACAGACATTTTTACAAGACAGCTAAAAGCTTCTATCTGCATAAAATAGAGTCATAAAATTGGGCACAGTTGACATTCTTCATGCTTCCTGCCTGCAACTTTAGGCTTGGAACAGAACATAAGTTTTATTTAAGAATAAGACAAATGAGAATGTTTCTGAAGTAAGCAGTGCTATTGAATTTCTCTAAAATTCTCATTAGGTGTGTATAAAAAGGCAGAATTTTCATGTTAATTATGACTTTAAAATGCTGATTCTATCATTGAAATATTAACAGAATAAATTAATGATTAAGCATTCAGTCTGCATTTGAAAATTTTTCAAATGTGTGACTGGTTATGAAATCTGTCATTTATGATTCTGTAACATGACAGCTGTCTCTGAAAGATACAATGGGGCAAACTGGGATTTTCTTTCTTTTTTTTTTTTACTAAAATAGAGAAGGAACATTGTTACATAAACTACTAACATTTTTAAAATAGTAAAAAATGCTTAACATATATTGTAGTTTAACCAAAGAAAGCACAGGCAACATAAGCCAAAATTATTAGCCTTCTTGGCTTTTTATTCCAATTTTTTTTTAAATGAACCTCCTTTTACCAAGTGTTATAGGGTTGAGTTACATTTGGTTCTTTGTTTTGGTGGTTTTCAGTTGTTTGTTGTTTGTTTGTTTTTTATTTGGTTTAGTTGTTTTTTTTCATTGAATTACTTTTTGGGGTTTTTTTCCCTGGTAGAAAGTTCTATAATATTTTTACTAACTCTTTTTGTTTCAAGTGTCTACAAGCTGTTTTACAGCCAGTCCTTTTCCAAAGTACATTTTTAACTTAGTCTTCACTGATGCTGTCCTAATTGGAGAATCAGGCTTTCAGATTTAAGTGCTTTGAAAAAGCACACAAACTTGAAAAGATGACAAAAAACAGACAGGCTGCATATTCTTTATAATTCATAGACAGTATAAAGCTGTTAATGTTGCATACAGAGATTTAAACCATTCATAAAAATGCTCTGTATTTCTTATTTGTTTGTCATGGACAGAACCTGTTGGGTTCCAATTTATTCCAGAAACAGCAAAATGTTAGTTTGCCATTTAGTGATCTTTATATATTCATCTGGTATTTTACTGTATAGCTTCTTTGTCATTTGACAGCACTAAATCTAGTGCTTTACGTGCCACCAAAGGTTGATTATGTTGCAGTTAAAGCAAACTTCTAAAGCAACTTTCTAGTCAGTTTTATTATCTTGCTTTTTGTTGCTTTTTTTCTGAGTGCAGGTACAAATATTTAATGTTTTACATTTACTTTAAATGCCTTAGAAAGCAGCATATTTGTTTCTCTTCTAGTCTTACAGAAAAACCAAGCAATGAGATCTTGTTTTTTTCCCCACTTACTCACAGGCAAGCACAAGCTGTTTGCATTCCAGCAATTCACCTGCACATGACTGCAGCCACCATGCAAGTCAGCCAGAAAGACTTTGAAAAGGCTCAAGAACAGCTGAAGCTTTTGAAAAAGGATCCTGGGAATGAAACTAAGTTGAAGCTCTATGCTTTGTTTAAACAGGTAGGGTTGACTTATTTTGCTTCATCAGGGACATTTATAATCTGACAGGAAGGACCTGTAGAATATTTACTTAAAAGATGGGATGTTCAAATGCGTTGTGTCTGAACAAGCTCTTCATTTCAAGCACTCAAAGTCTCTTCTTGAAGTGCCAGCCCTGCAAACCCTGCCTGAAATTGGAGGGAATCCAAACTAGTTTCATCCTATAACTCATGCTTTGAATAGAAACCTTTATTCAAAGACATAGAGCCAAATGACATCTACTGTGTTATGCTTTCCATGAAATATAGCATATATTAATGCAGCTCTGGAGAATTTATTATGCCTAGAAAAAAAAGTGTGTGCCACGTGCTTCCTCCTGAATTTGTTGTATCTACAGTTAGTAGCTGAGCCTATAATATAACAGTGTTGACATGTGAAGGTTGATTTCTGGGTTTGTGGTTTTTTTGGGGTTTCTTCATTCTTTTTTTGTGTCAATGTAGTCTGGTTTGGTTTGGTTTATTTTGTAATTCAAGGCACTATCCCTCCACACTGTGTGTGAAGGTTGTTCTTTAATACAGCATGGGAAGAGACCTTTGTAGAAATCCCTACAAGTCCTTAGCAGGGATTGTATTGGTATTTGGGAAAATATTTGTGATCGAGATTGGTTGCAGGGTCAGTGAAAGGTGTGGCTTACTGTATTGAAGAAGGCAATCAGTATCTCATTTAAATAAAAACTTAGCTGACTGTTCCAGGTAGTTTTACTAATTAATAATAATGAGAATGGAATACTTAAGGATAGCTCAGGCTTTTGCAACTGGTCCAGCACCCTTGCTCATAGTAGGGCCGACTTTGAAAATCCACTTTAATAGATCTTATGCAGTGGTTTCTTTGTTCACATAGCTTATGAGTCTTCAACTTTCTTTTGAAAATATTTTACATAGGAGAACTGAAATGCATGAGTGTCTTGGAAACTAATGTCTCGTGTTGGTTATGTGCTTCTGAAAGTCCAGCACCAAGTGTGGAGAAAGAGCAGACACTGAACACTTGGTGGCATGTGAACTGTCTGAATTTTGTTCAACCACTAGTTTTTCTTTCGATCAGAGTTGAATTCTATATCCTGATCAGAGAAATATTCCTAACAGTTATAATATTTTTCTATCAAGTTTAAATAAGTTTTGTTTCACTCTCTTTTCAGGCTACCGAAGGTCCCTGCAATTCTCCAAAACCAGGTATGCTGGACTTTGTCAAGAAAGCCAAGTGGGATGCATGGAATTCTCTTGGCAATTTGTCTCAGGTGATAATACCTATAATTTCACTTAGACATGTTGTAGATTACTCTATCTTGAAGGGCTGATGGCTCAACATGTTACATGCTAGCTAAGCAACTGCTTCAGACACCAAAATGTTTTGCACTGTATTCTACAGTAATTTCACTGCTTCAGCATTTGGGGATTCTTTTTTTACTGTGTAAGTTCTGTGTAGTTCTACAGTATTGCTACCAGCTTGTATCAGGGTAAGAGATCTTGCCTATGTGACTTTCAATAAAAATAGTGATTTTTCACACTGTTATATTCTGCTCTTCCCTTTAAGATGGTTTGAGCTTCTCAGTTCTTAAAATATGGAGAAAATTTCTGAATTGAGCAAATGGAAATCTTTGTTGTTTTAAAAAGTCAGTGTCTTATGCCATTGACTAAAAGACTAGAAAAAAACTGGTGCATTCAGAGCCTGTCTTCGTTCTTTCTCAGTATATCCTGACATCTTTAATACCTTTAATCACCTTTAAAGGAGTCTTTACTTCAAGTGAAGTGAGAAGGCAGACTATAGATGCAAGGATAGATAAGTGTTCTATTTTCATGGAGACTATCTTAAGTCTAACATCACATGTAGCTACCAGTTTCTCCAGCTACTATTAAGTGAAGGAAGCAGAGGCTTTACAAACCAGCTGTGTCACTACTGCATAAGACATGCTGTTCAGGAGTAGTTTCTGAGGTCAGTCAAAGATACTACTTAATACACAGGTGGGTTTTTTTTGGCCAAGAAACACTTGAGGAAAAGAATTGGGTCTTGGAAGTTATAGTAGAGAGGGAATAGATGATTTCTTTTGCTAGAGATTATGGATTAGAGAATTGTTCAAAGTGTATTATCCTTTCAAGAAAGTAGGTTGTAACAACCAAGACCTTCCAATTCTTTTAAGTCACTACATACTGTAGAAACAGGGAGGCAGGATTCTTTAGGCTTTTTACGTGTTCTGTTTGTGTTAAATGAAAACTATTGTCTTAAAAAATGTTAACATGCCACAGACCCATTTTAGCACTTTTATTTTCAGCAGCACATGTTGAGAAATGTCTTAACTGGGAAGCAGGAACAAAGGATCTATAGAAATATGTAAATGCTGGGATGACATCAGAGGTGTCTGGTAATTTTAGGTGAGGATACGAATGCTTCTCCAACAAAATAAATGTCATCATCCTGGCATCTGTGCGCTTTTGTTTTGCAGGTCCTCTGCTGCTGACTTAAAGTATGATCAACATTGTTTAAATACAGCATATTCACCTTCTCACCATAATTAGAATGGTTCCTAATTGAGACATTTCCTTTATTTTCTCCTAGCATAGGGTCCCCTTTCCCCTGCAGATACCCATTCAATGAATAGCATAACAAACTGATTTGGATTTCAGCATTGGATGATCTTGTTTTGTTTTATTTTCTTTTTCATTTCAGGATAATGCCAGACAGAAATATACTGAACTTGTCTCAAGTCTACTCTCTGCAGAGTCTGCTGACCAGAAGAAAGATACTTCTCCAGAAGAGGGCAGACATGGTGGCTATGAAACAATAGTAGTTACCACTAAAAACAAGATCACAAAAATAATGTTTAACCGACCTGATAAGAAAAATGCCATCAACCGTAAGGTAAAGACATTAATTTGGGAGAATTAATGGTTTGTTCTTTCTTGGGTAAGCTACTTATGATTTTAAAGAATCGTTGCTACAGGTTTAGCAGAAGTAACTGAAGCAAGATAGACTGAAAGGGACCATAGTTAATCTATCAAGTTCTTTGTTGTCCGTGTGAATCTCCTTTTTATGATCTTTTGCAGCATCACATTTGTATTCTTTTTCATTTTCCTCTTATGCAGATGTACAGAGAAATTATCCAAGCACTTGAAGAGGCTGGAAAAGATGATTCAACTATAGCTGTTATTACTGGTACTATGCTTCATATGCCTTGCTTAGATTTGTTTTATATTATGCCAAAGTACAGTACTGACACGAGCTATCTACCTGTATTTGTACTAGGAAAGAATTGTAATTGAGGAAATTCTTTCCTGTAGTAGAGATCAAAGATTTTCCAGGCATTTTAGCAAGATTCTTTCAAGGCAGGTTGGAGTGGGACAGACTGGCTGAGGGCAGGAGCTGCCCATTTGGCCTGTCTTTGTTGCATTATGCAGTGTAGGATGATTTAGACTATTAAATCATACATTCTAGCTTTTAAGTGCTCCTTGCTTTTTGATGGTGTCTCAAGCTGACTGACATGTTCACTGATAGGCTATCTATTTCTTATTGAAGAATGCACCTTTCAGTACAGTGATTTCAATGCAGTGCTGTCAGTCTTATCCTTAGAATGATATGCTTTTTCCTTAATTGTTCATTAAAACTGTGAAACATATTAAATAGGTTATTCTATCTACTTTTGATTCCTTCACCAATTTGAAAGGAGATACATGAATTTACATTCCCATTTTCCTGTTAACAAAAAAACAAGTTTCTTACATCTTATTGTGTGAATGATTGTGTATTGACAGAAAAAAGACTTAAGCAAGTATGCAGGGAAAGAAATAAATAAAAAAGCTTCAATCTAACACTGTTACAGGAATTTTTTTTTCCAAAAATCTTTGAAATTTATTATTACTTGGCTTTTTACCCATCGTTTTTCAGAGAATTGTCAAGCAAAGCTTATTTTTAAACTGTATGTGTCCTTTAAGGTAGTGTGCATACTTTGAGACAATCCCTCCAATAATTTAATACTATTAGACACTTAGAATGTTGTTCTTTTGTCAGTGTAATAAATGGAAACTTCTCTTACCTACTCAGAAACCACTGGTGCATTTATCTGTATGTGTTCTCTGCAGGGAATGGAGACTACTATAGTAGTGGAAATGATCTGAGCAATTTTACTGACGTCCAACCCGATCAAATGGAGAAGATGGCAAAAGATGGAGCAGTATTACTCAAGTAGAACATTTTGGTTTCATATATGCATAAGTTAGTGTGATGAGTAAATATAATTTGCAGGCATTGTTAGAAAACACCATAGCAGGGGCCCATTTATGCTACAATACATCCATTTAGAAGACTGTGTCTAGGAGCTCACTATGTACATACACACAAATATTATGTGGGAGAAGTAGTATTAATTGTATTGAATAAATGAAGAAATAAGATTAATATTAGAAATTTAAGTACAGTAATGCTGTACACTCAGTTTTATTTTTTAGTCCTCAGAGTATGTCCAGATATAATAACAGAAACATTATTTTGACTGCATAGTTTGTAAGCTGCAATGAAAAATTTGTGGGTTTTCTGGTATCCAACAGTGTCTGCACTAGCAGGACTTGCCAAAATACTTTCACTGTCAGACTTCCTTGAATAGAGTCTAGGTGAAATGAACCTGTTCAAAATTGCCTAGGAGTACTGAGATCTTGGTTCTGTCTTTGACTCTGAATCTACCTGTTAAACAGATCTATTTTCTAAGGCCAAGCAGATCACAGACATCATCTGGCACAGTGGCTGAAATGGGCTTTTTTGGGACAAAAAACATGTTTGTTTGTTCCATGTTCAAGCAGATTTTTTCTTCTCTGTTACTTCTCTTCTGTGATGATTACATCTGAGAGATACTTAGAAGTTGGATTGCTTCCTCAAGCACTTGCAGTTGACAGAAAATCTAAAAGAAACAGAAGAGCAAACAATACTTTTTAGTTATGTTTTAAAGATGAACTGCAAGTAAAGCTTTTACTTGTACTTAGGCCAGCTGTCTGGGGATTGCAGTTGTCCCTACAAAGTGATAATGATGCAGTCCAAATCTGGTCTGAAAATGTTATTCAGTGGTATCTGGCAGACATACCAACCTGCAGTGTTTTGCAGGATGCTCAACACAATGCATATTCTCCTGGATATTTCATACTCTTTCATCTTGCTCTTGTGAGAAGACAGCATTTGCTGTGCTGTTACTGTTACATGAGCACAGTGCTTCATTACAACTCATACAGAGAGATGACAGAGAATTGGATTTCTTACAATACTGCTCATATTTGAAACATACTTTTAAGTTGAGAATGTGTTTTGCACTTCCTGGTTGGAGAAGTAGCTGTCAAATGAAACAAAATGCAAATTCTCAAGCCCATGCAGAACAGCACTAGGGAATTCTTTGTTGTGGGAACATCACAGTTTTGGTGCCTCCTGGGGCTTCTCTGCAGAATCTGTGAAGTGAATCCCATGGGTGGAATTGGGATGGATGGATATATAGGTAGCTGGATAGAGAGGGCAAAAGGCTGTTCTTGTTAATGAGCTGTATTTGGTAACTGTAGCTGAAAAGAGACAGTGCTTCCATACTTCACTGCAGAAACTAGGAGAGCTATGCTGATATTTACATGTTTGATTCTTTGTTGGTAAGGAAATGCAGGTATTTCAAATAGTTCTTATTTTATGTGTCAGAATTCATTTGGGAAAGGGTCAAAAACCATATGCTACAAAGAATCTAGCTCATGGGTTTTATTATGCAGTATCTAATAATGTGTTTTGAGTGTTGCTTATATTTGAAGAAAAGTAGTAGGATGTCTCTTATGTTTTGTTTTTCCTTCTCTCTAGAGAGTTCGTCGGTCACTTTATTGATTTTCCTAAACCACTGATTGCAGTGGTAAATGGCCCAGCTATTGGAATCTGTGTAACTGTCCTTGCGTTGTGTGATGTTGTCTATGCTTCTGACAGGGTAAGTATGTCACGTAGCTGGTACCCAAGGCATTCTTCAAGCCTCTTTCTGTAGCAAATATTACTTGGTTTAGGGTAATCTGACAGAAGAGAACACCCAAGTTGAAAGGCTTATTATATCATATGAACACCTGTATTAATTACTAGCATAGGGATGCATCAACCAGAGGTTACCACGCGTGGAATTTTCCTGCTGTAGTTGTGCTTGTCAAGTTACTGGCTCCAATTTAGAAATGCTTTACTGTATCAGTGGGTTCAGTAAAGAGTAACTTTGGTTCCAAGGCCCCTTTCAGGTGTGAGAGGGGGAGCAAAAAGATTATTGTGGAGTGGAAGTGCAGTAACTGGCATCTTACCTAATTTGTGTTCCAAGGTAGCTTTGGAAAAGCTTCTGTTTATTCAGCTTAAGATTCCTTTTAAGGTAACTTGCCAAATACATAACCAAAAGCTCTATTAAGGCATAGCACAGAATCCCATTGTATATGACTTAACTTCTTACGTTCTGTTGTTTATTTGTATAAGGTTATTAAACAGATACAGAAGTTAACCAAAGTTCTTAATTGATTTTAGACAAGCCTTTGCTTGCAGAAGTGCCTATGGTGGTGCTTGGACTCCTGCTTCAACATTGTGTCAGATTTTCCTTCAAAGTCCCTGCTGGATTGGGTTTGTCACTATGAGTCTCAAGAAAATTGAGCTGCAAGTGACCAACTCCCTCTGTTTGTCCCAAACAGGATCAACTAGGACCATGTCACTCCTAACATATACTTGTATAATGTACATGATCTAATCAGTCTATTCTGGTCCCTAGATCTCTTTTCCTAGAAAATTGTTGGGTTCTTCCTCCTCTCCTCTCTGATGTTTTTTTGCTGCAGGGCAGCAAGTTGTTTCCTGTACCTGAATTTAAAGAACAAACAATTTTCATTCTCCCTTACAATAGCTATAAATGTGCTTTGCCACCTATGTACTTAGACTGTTAGTTTTATCTCAGGTGTACATCCACTCTTTCAATCTTTTTTTGTGCTATTCATTCAGTTTTCACTCGTGCTTTCTTAAGCCTGCAGCCAACATTCCTCTGGGCCCCTTCCAGTCTCTTTAAGCGTAGTGATACAAACTGGACACATCAGTTTATGTGTTACTGATGCAAAGTAGAGCAGAAGAACTTCTCCATGTCCTGCAGGCTGTGTTTCTCTTTTGGCATCCCGCTGTTATTTGATTTACATACTTCTGATTTGCTGTAGCACCTGGAGCCCTTACTATGGAGTTGCCAGTTAAACAGTTCTTATCATATACCATATGCTGTATAACCAATTATTTGTGCCAAACTTGTTCATATTAAATGGTGTCTTCTTACTCAGACCTCTTAGTTTTGTTAAGGCTATTTTAAACTTTAATCACTTCCCCCTCAGCATATCTCCTACAGCCACAAGTTCATAAGTTTCATCAAAATAAACATTAAATGTTTCACCCTGTTAAAGGTATCTTTCTTGTATATTTTGAGTTTCGTACTGGAACCTCCTTTTACTACTTTTATAAATAATCACTGATAGATGTGTCTTATTTTTGCCCTGTGTTTCTATTTTTTTCATCTCCACATTCTTGTATTGCTTTCATACTTAGTTGTCTGGTGTAGTTTTTCACTTTGTGTACTTGCATTTAAAGTCAGTGGCGAGCTCATGGCTTAGCTGAGGCAATCTGTTACTACCTTCCTACCTGCACTGGAGCAGCTTTTGCTTGTGCCTTAGATAACAGTTCTTTGAGGATTTCTGCAGAGTCTCAATGAGTCTTTTCACTTAGGTTAGCCTTCATTAGAACTTTCCTATTGACTTAAGTTTATTGAAGACATCTCAAAGGTGATTGCTCTGTATTATTCCCTTTCCAGGATTGTGGACTCCCATGCAATAAGATCATTCTCATCCAAATTACTACTTGATTTCACATTCTCCAGTAGTTTGGTTTGAGTGCCTTAGGCATTGTCCACCTACTCCAGAAATGGTCAGCTTTGCTATGTCCAGGATCTGATTTTATTCTCAGCTAGATATTCCCAGAGCAGTCTGTTTACCAGGCACATTAGGAGGATACTGCACAGCCCAGTCTGACAACTGATCAACATTTTGGGTGGTCAGTTAACATCACTTTCTGCAATGGATTTGCTCCAATCCATGAGGCACCCCTGGTATAGTTAATCCCACCTTGCTTAAGCATGACCAATACTAGCCTGTATTCTGGCAGATGTTTGTTTTCTTACAACTATATAAATGTCACTTTCTTGCTAGGAAGTCTATTGATCTGTTGTACAGCCTAGCTGTCTAGAATACAGTAAAAGGTGATTACAGTGAAAGTTGCATTGGCAGCTTATGCAGTCTTTGTGTATCAGTTAATATTTTTTAATGGAAATAAAGGCAGACATTTTGTTGTCTTTACTCAAAGCTGATGTAAGTTGTCAAAACATAAAATTCTGTAGTTCAGGTCTAACATGCAACTAGGATATTTTGTATGAGCCCCTGACACATTTCTGCCACAAGTTTTTTAAATTTGCGTAAAACCTGAGGAAAGAAGATTCAGTGACTCAAATTGTTCAGGAGTAGAATAAACTTACTGTGCCTTCAGAAAGAAAAATGTTCCTTGCTTCTTTAGGTGTTTGGGCTATGTATTTAATAAATTTTAGGGCAGATGTGTATGAGCATCCTTTCTGTGAAGACTTTGCAGATGCAAATTAGTTTCTCTAACTATTCAAATGAGGTAACTTTATCAATGGTTTTGTTATGATAAGGGAATTGAATTATAGAGACAAAGTCAGCTCTTGGGTGCATTGAGAGGATGAAGCAGTGTTACTGGATGGTATTTAAAGCCTATTATGGTAACAGTTCAAATGTATTTCTGCTGAACTCTATTACAGCAGAGGCTTTAAAATGAAAACTAAATCCAAATACTTTAGTCCCATGGTCTGTTGTGAGGTTTGCTTTGTTTTATATTTTTTTTTCCTTTTGTATTTTACAGGCTACATTTCACAGCCCATTTAGTCAACTTGGACAGAGCCCAGAAGGATGTTCCTCTTACCTGTTTCCAAAAATCATGGGCTTAGCCAAGGTAAGAATGTCTGCACTGAATGTGGGATCATCATACCTTTGTGTGTTGTTATCCTTCAACTCTTTAAGAGCAAGTGGAGTCACAGAAGGAGTCTTCAAAGAAAGCTCCCTTGAGAAATGTCTTATCCCTCAGACAAGGGAACAAGTGTTGTTGTGGTTTCTGCCAGCCCTGTGGGAAACTTCTATGCAACCATTCCTCCAAGTGTGAATGTGAAGCAATCCATTTGTGGATTTACTTGCAGCCCTCTTATATTACCTGTTTTGTTCTAATATATGTTGGTCTTCTGTCCATACTCTTCTCTGTCTATGCTAGAAGGACACTAAATAGTAGTAATTAAAAGGAAAAAAAAAAGAGTAGAATCTACATTTTAGTTTCTTAGAGCAACCTAAGTTCCTTTCTGCTTCTTTTGATATCACACAGAAAAAAATCTGGATAGTTTCAAGTACTTAACTGGTATTATTACCTGTGTTAATGTAGTGCATTTAAGTTGAGGAGTGTTTACATCTGTAAAGAGTAGAGCAAGTGCTTTATAAACATCCAGTTATCGAAGGTAATCTATTCAGTGAGATATAACCTACCAGTCCATATTCTAGAAATTATGGAGTCGCTGTTGGAAGTGAACAAACAAATGCATGATAGTGTAATTTCAAGTGACAACCTTGAAGCTCTATTCAAAAAAGACAGACTCTTGGTGAGTAACAGGAGTTGGAGGTCAGTCACTGGGGGTCAATACTGGGTCTAATACTTATTTAAGCTCTGCATTATGGCCCAGATGATGGGACTGAGCACATGATACCTGATTCAGAGGAACATTTAATGCACTACGTGCATTGCTGTTCAGAAGGACGTGACCAGGCTGGAGAACTGGAGAATCTCAGACTTCAGCAGAGGAGAAGGCAAAGTCCTATACTTGGGAAGAAATAATCCCACACACCAGTGCCTATTGGGGGTCTTACTGTCTGGAAAGCAGCTTTGCAGAGAAGGACCTGTGAGTCCTTGTGGACAGCAAGTTGCCTGTGAGCCAGCAATGCACTCTTGCATCAAAGAAGGCCAATGGCATCTTGGGTTGCACTAGACAGCATTGCCAGCAGGTTGAGGGAGGTGATTCTTCCCCCTTTTCTCAACACTAGTGAGACCACAGCTGGAATGCTGTGTTTGGGTCTGGGCTTCAGCTGAAAGAGAGACTTGGACATACTGGAGCAGGCCCAGCAAAGAGCCACAAAGATGATTAAGGCCCTTGAACATACTACATATGAGAAGAGGCTGAGAAAGCTAGGACAGTTTTTCCTGAATTACAGGAGGCTTGGGTGAAACACTTACCAATGTCTATAAATACCTGATGGGAAGGGATAAAGAAAATAGAGACAGATTCTTGTCAGTGGTAGCTAAGAGTAAAGGGGTGTAAATTGAAACACAGGAAATTCTATCTCTATCTGTAACTTTGTAGCGGGGGTGGTGAGACACAGGAACAGGTTGTGCAGAGATGCTGTGAAGTCTTCATCCTTGGAGTTACTCAGAATCCAACAGGATACACTCCTGGGCAGTGTGCTCCAGCTGACCCTGCTTCAAGGAGGGCTTTTGAACTAGGCAGTAGCTGGAGGTCTCTTCCAACCTCATCTATTCTGTGATTTTGTGTTTTTTTCAGAGGACAAGTGTTAATGAGCAAGTGAGTAAAACAAATATGATTTGGAAGCTTGTACCTTTCCTGTCAGATTTCTCATGTCTTGTGTCTCGTTGAATCACACTGTCTATCTTTCTTTATATAGGCGAGTGAGATTTTGCTGTTCAATAAAAAGCTGACTGCAGCAGAAGCCTGTGCCCATGGGCTAGTGACTGAAGTCTTCCCTGAAAGAAGTTTTCAGAAGGAAGTTTGGGCAAGATTAGAAGCTTATGCAAGCCTCCCAAAAAATGTTAGTATTTTAAACTCTTCTCCACTTTATAAACCTGTAGCATTCCCAGCCTTCCTACCAAGCCTATCCTGTTCCTTTTTTTCACTTCATCCTTATTTGAAATAACAAGGCTCAAGATACTTCTTTTAAGCATAGGTCTGTCCCTGTACCTGTGCTGCTGGGAAACAGATACCTCGCCTGTACCCTGGCTGAATCCAAGTGTGTAGTGTACATGAAGATTCAATGGCTGAAAAGCATTAAAAACTAATTAATTCTCTTGGCAGTCCCTGTGTGCATGCTTTGGATGCCTTCTAGGTTTTTATTTTGGCAATAGTTCAGGTTTAAGAGCCTTACCCCTGATTCTACAATACCAGTTGTACTGTGTGCACAGTGGGTGCTGAAGATGTTGCTGAGTGGCTCTACTTTTTGCTGAATTAATCATCCCGTTCACTAGTTCAAGTTTTGCAAAACTACTTGAATCACAATGGGATGATGTTACATTGGGCAAGAGGAGACACTCGTGCCAACAGCTGGTAACATAGGTTGCCTTTGGCTCTGCAGACAGTTCAACAGGTTTCACTTCTTAAACCAATCTATTAATCAGCACTTAGTGGGCTGCTGCTTTGTTTCCCATGAATCTCCTCCTTGGTAATTAAATGCAGTACTTACTTCCAGCTAAAAGGTTGACTTAAAAGCTAAGAAGTGCAACGTTAATACAAGTCTGTTTGAATTCCAGTGTGTTTATTGTGCTTTTTTCTTTCTTTTTTAAACATTAAAGTGAGATAGAGAAAACATAGCTTCCTAACATTACTCTCTTTCTCCTCCAGTCCTTGGCATTGTCAAAACAACTGCTACGAAGTGCAGAAAAGGAGAAGCTCCATGCAGTCAACAGTAAAGAGTGTGAAGTCCTTCAGGAGAGGTGGTTATCTGATGAATGTTTGAATGCTATTGTCAGCTTCTTTCAGAAAAAGTCAAAACTCTAATTTTCTCTAGCAAAATAATTCACCCTCTGGCAGTAGCTTAACTTATGCTTATCTTTAATAAACTTTCTCTTCAAATAATAATTCTTTTACCTTTTGATGTGGTATATTTCTCTTCCCAGTACCTGGGTAAAACAATTTCATAAAATTATTACCATGTTATGTGCCTTGGATCCATTATGGATATTTAGGTTGGGGAAAAAAGGTTCATTATTCTGTAGGCAGCAGCAATATTTCTGAACAATACTAAAGCAGATTGTCTTTCCAATATCACCATACTTTGATAGCTCTTCAATAAATGTCTTGTGAGTCTTATTCTTTTTATTAATCTGTGGGGAAGGAAATACTGTATTAATGAAAAAATAAATAGAAGTATTTAATTACTGTTGTGCTGATTCTTACTCCTTCTGTTAAACATCCTCAGTGAGAGGGGAAAGTAGTTCCTGGAGGTGTAATAATATAATCCTTCAAAAAGTATGCACTTGAATAACTTGAAGATTATCAAATATACTTGTTGTGAGCTTTATGGGTCTAGTCTTAAATGTATTTTCCATTAATTGTTTCAGATTGCGTTTTTCTCTGAAAAATCCCATTAAAGGTAATAAAACTTCTTACTGTAGCTATGTTGGAGATAAATTAACAGAACAATTCTTTTCCAACAGAAAATTTCTCTTTCTATTCATGACTGTCTTTGGGTAGGCACTGCAGAGGGACAGAATCAGGCTGCTGGAAGTAGGTAGGCATATTTAACTCATGCCAATGAAAGGAAATTGTAGAAAAGGAGCAGTTCCTTATCAAGAAAAGCCTCTCGATGACAAGGAGCTGATTGTTGCTGAGAGAATAAATAAATAAATAAATACAAAAAGCTCTCTCATTTCAGTGCTCTAGACTTTGATCTCAAGAGCACTGATGGTGAGAAGCCCAAAAGGTGTCACTCTGGTCCTGGCCTGGCTGCTTGGGTGGGTACCTGCATAAAAGCAGTGTGCTTTTAGTTAACATTTTAATAGGTTAAATCATTGTCTCTGAAGTTCATTTAATAGCTGTGTTGTTCACAAAACACTTATTCCTGATCATCAGCATCTCTTATAATTTTTACACATTTACACATAAGTGTCAACAACGAAACTAAGATGAATCTTTTCAGAGAATTTGTTTACTCTATCCAATGAATTAGCAACTTTAGATAATTTCTTCTGAAATACAGTCACTAAGTAATAGTATTTAAAATAACTGCTTTGTGAGAATTACCTCAAATATTCCTGTACCTTCCTTATATTCTCTTCAAGGTGTCACTGTTGGGTGGTGTATATCTTGCACAGGGGTGCAATGTACGGTAAGATTCAGGTCACACTTGGCACAACCGTGCAGGTGCTTAATTATCTGCCTCTGTGTTTGTAAAGAATCACAGGTAAACCATCAAATAGATCACACAGAAATACCAATGGCAAGATATCCATACCTAATTCCAGAAAATCAGTTCGGTTGTAAATATCCTGGAACAACTTTGCTGTGTTGAAGTGTCTTGTTCCAGCTGAATGTGGACACCTCCATGAGGATAATGTAGTAGATATCATATCTGAACAAGGGCTTTTAAGTTTTTCAAAGAAGTTTGAATTTGTTATTAAAAACTCTAAACTATGGCTCCATCTGTAGCCTTTTCTAGATACCTGGGGACAGACAATTATGCATTTCTTAAAATCTTGTAGTAACTGAACAAAAATCTTTTCACAGAAGTTTATGGAGGATTATTTTTCCTCTTTGGTTTGTAACAGAGCAAACTTTAAAACACATTCCATATTGCCTGTAACAACTGAAATGTAACATCAATATATTTTAGTCCAAAGTAGGTGGAATAGGTCTAGAAGGCAACATCTAAAACTTGGGAAAAAACCAACCAATCCTTTTGTGATTTATACACCACTTCTCCATTCAATATGATCAGGATGTGTGCAGTTGAAAGCAGTTTGCACAAAATGTTTCATGTGTTATTGCTTCAATTATGAGTTGCAGTGGAACACGCCTGTGATACCAGTTCAGCAGCTCCTCATGGAGAAGGTTATGCAGCACAAGACAGTGACTAACAGGACCAGCAGCAAAGCTTGCAGAGCTCTCCATGGCCATCAGTGAGGGGTTTGCAGAGGGCTGGAGCAAAAAGGCTAAGATTGCTATTGCAGTATTGTCCAAAACTTTGGGATTAAAATATACATCTGTACAACTGGAAGTTCAACAGTAGCTTGGCAGGCAGTAGCTACTCCCTGGTGAGGGGGATTTTTCCCTCTTCTGATAGAAAACACCTAGAGTCATTCTGTTATTGCCACCCAAAGGTCAGGTTGAGAGCTGGTAGGACACTGATGAGGACCTCCTATCTATTAGTCTGCTGCAAGAGGGTACAGGTGAGAAGTCTCATTTGAAGGAGTGCCAAGCTGCATGAGGGTGCCTGGTCATAGCACTTCTGCAGAGGGTTTGCAGCCCAGTGTTCATCCCCAGGTGAATCCTCCTGGTGTCCCCAGGGGTGCCCTGAGTTGTGCACTCCCAACTGAGACATTCTTTTCTGGGACTTGTAGACCTCATGAACCAGCAGTTTACATAAGCACTAAGTTTACATTGCAACTATATTATGTTAGAGACATAGTATGCTAAGAATATAAACAAAATAATGTTTGTTTGTAGGAAAATATCCTTTGTTAGAGTGGTTAGTGCAGTGTAAAAAGTTGAGATTTTTTTTCTAGCATGTAGCTCCTTGAGGTGTCCTCAAAAGCACACCCCTTTTCTCCAACTGTGATAGTTTTATGGCGCTTATTTCTCTCTACCTAAAACCATCTGTTCAAATGCAGACACAACATTTGAGGTATGCTGTTAAAAGCCGAGTTCAGCTCACTGAAACTGACAGATATAGGTTTCTAAGAGGTTAAAACTTTCTAGTAAAAGATAAAAGCAAAAAGGTAAGTGATAGTTTCAGTAGTTTCAGAGAAGTGTTTTCACATGCACTATATCCCGTAATTGGTTTGGGGTTATTTTTTTACACAGAATTCTTGCAGACCTTCAGTGGACCTCTTTCTAGAGTTGAGGTCATCCGTGTAGCACAACACAGGTGGACTTTGCTGGCCAAATAAATTAGGTATCCTGTTTTGTTTTGTATTCCATGTGCTCAATCTGGAACATGTTTCTGATATTTAAACCAAACTATTTTCCTTACTTTAGCTAACGCAAAATATCAGCAAAGAAGGAATGTTTTGTGCCTGGGACAAGATGCATAATGAAGGCAAAATTGCTGTGAGCAGGTGTTTTAATAATTATATCGAATTAGACCACGTAGTTAATGTCACAACCATCCAGCCAGCCTGAACAGGTGAGAACAATGCCTGCAAAGACATGTTGGCACTCTGTGGAATTAAATATCAACAGGTAATTATCAGCATATATATTTTATAATTGGAGCATTCAAAGGGCTTTTATTAATAGATGCAAAGTTGTTTTCATTAAAGTTAAGGAAGAGCACTTGAGAGGTAACAAACTGTGTGCTCAAGTAAAAGCCTTTAGTCTCTTCTAGAACATATTATTTTGTACTATAGCTGCACCCTGAAGATGCTTGTAGATACCTAATTATACAATTAATTGACTCTGTTTTTTGTGTAATTTCTTCAGTAGATTCTTTGTATGCTCTGATGCTGATTTTCATTATTAAAGGAGTAGTATACAGCAGAAAGGGAGATTTACGTTTGGCTATTTTCTTTTATTGGTACTAACTTTTCTCTTCCAATGTAGGTATGACCCAGGAACTCGAGGTACCCTTCATCACTTTTAATTAAAAACAACATTTCTTATGCACCAGATGTTCCAATGCATAGGAAATGTTCATGAAGACTGAAAATTTCAACCTGAATTTTGAACAATTCACTTACCTTGTTTTCCTGAAATGTAAATAAACTGATGGTATCTCCAGTTTGTATGCCTCATTATAATGTATGTTCACCTTACTTAACCTTTTATTATATGTATGGTTTCATATTTTTCAGCCAGTAAAATATCTATTGCAAATATATTTTTACCTTACAGATCTGAAATAAGGAATTCTTCACCTATTGATATGAAGGTTAATTTAAAAATCTGGAAAATATTTCAATAGATGAAAAAAAATCTGAAATACTTACAGAAATTCCATAGAGTTAGTAACAATATGCCTAAAAAGAAGATTACAAAACAATATGTAAATTGTTACAATTTGCATGGATTAAAGGGATTATTTCTGCTGTCTCATAGCACTGCTGTATATTATATTTCTTTTTAACATTTAAGTATCCAAGACATTTAACATTTGAGAAAGGTTTTAAAACTTTTTTTTTGAGTATCTGAGCAACAAAAGGACAGAAGCTAACTGCTGATCATGTTGTTCCATTAGCCCTGATCTTCTGAGTATGTGTGACTTTACCTTCCTTTTGTGATACAAGGACAGAAGGCTATAGATCTGCTATTGTACAAGGAAAAGTAGCAGAATGTACAGTTATGTACATAAAGTTAGTGGAGAGGTATTCTTGGAAATCTTCCTATTCTGCAGTAATAGAACAAAACATAGTCTGTATCTGTCAAGGATCAATAGTGTCAAACTGATCTCTTTTCCTGTACTAGTGACTGGCTTGATGCATAAGCGAAGAGCAGTGAATGTCATTTAAAGTTTAGGGTTTTTGTGCTGTTCTGCTATGCAGCTGATCTAAACAATTCCAGGAAATGTGATCCAGACTAAGTTGCAATTGTGAAGTCATGGAATTGGCTGAAACACTCTTCTAAGCGGTAGTAATCAGGTTATCAAAGTGAGAGGGCACAGTCTGGGATCTGACAGGAGTTTATTCTGGTGTTTTGCTCAATGTGTTAATGAATGAGTTAGAGCCTTCTATTATAAAATCTGTGGCTAACATCAAGTTTCAAGGTTAGCTTGGTGAGTTGGGTTGTTTGTGATCAACAGGGTGAATTTGATAAAGGAAAGCACCTTTCCACTCATACTTCTA